CTGGTGCTTTAATATTGGCACCCACATTTTGCAGTCAATTGTTTTCCACGTTTAGTGTATTTGGCTTGGCATTTGGCCTTAAATCCTTCACATACTCTGACATCTTGGTTACATATTCAGAGATTATCTGACCAGTGCTTTTTCAGAAATCTAAAGTAAGCCCAAATAAATCAGAAGAGAAGTACATGCAGAGCGCAATTAACATTTATTTCCAGCTCAGTTATTTTGGTAATAACTGAGGCCATTTATCACATATTTTGTTTTTATTTCCAATATTGTATGTTACTAACATTTTCAAGATTGAGACATTTCGTTTCTTTCTAGAAGAGAGAGAGAAGTAACATATTATTCATAGTTTCTTTGATGTAGATGTAAGAAACTTTTGTGGAAAATGCTGTGCTGAAAGTGCTCAGTTTTTACAAATTACAGTATGAACCAGTCTTCCCCAACGCATTAGGTAACATTTCCCAAAACTTCTAGACTGCGTGGTTTTTGAACTTCTGTCATTCTGGCTTAGAATTCTGGGACCTGTAGTCCACCATTTTTAGAAGATGCCAAGTTAGGAATGGCTAATATAGACTATTTTTACAGTAATTGAAAGACAGTGATTTGATTTCTGGCCTATAAACCAGCTTTTTTTTTAAAAGAAAAAAAAGCACAACAAAGAAAAATGCACAGTAATGGTTGCATTAGAACAAATAACGTAGCGCAAAGATGGCCTGTAAGCTTCAGGACTCTTCCCAAATTTCTTCTTGAGTTTATGTCGTGAGCATTTTGGCTTAGAGAAACCTTGGAGAATGGACATATTATAATTAGGGGATTATTTAAAAAGCAGCACACACTTAACTAAGCACTAGCTAGAAAATAATACAATTTTAATCCACCATGAGGCAGCTCCAATAAGGAATGAACTCACCAGTTTGGAAGGTTATATAGATCAGTGTTTCTCAACCTCAGCAACTTTAAGATCTGTGGACTTCAACTCTCAAGATTCCTCACCCAGCATGCTGGGTGGGGAATTCTGGGAGGTGAAGTCCACAGATCTTAAAGTTGTTGAGGTTGAGAAATACTGATATAGATGACTCCTTAGATAGTTGAAAGAAATCTATCCATCCCTTAGCTCTATTGAATATGCAGTTTATGATCTTGGTGCCAATGCATGGTGAAGTGAATTTTTCAAACCAGATGCCTTGCTACCGCTGTTCCCTTTTTTCTTCTCCTGTTACTACTATTTTGTTGGCATGTAAAATATATATTTGTTGCTTTGCAGGATACTAACCTCAGTGTATATAACAAAAATCCCTCCCTCATCCATCCGATCTTTAATAATATTTATTATTATGTTACCACATAAAATTAATTCCTATTTGGAAGATATGAATGTATTATCAGACTGGATGCATCATGCTTTTATTGTGTAAAGTGTTTGACAGAGAAGAGCACAATAACAGCTAAGGATAATAGTTACATTAGGCAGATGTCTTACCAAAATTTGGAAAGGTTTTACTATGGAAAATCTGACTAGCTAAGAAGATGCTGCACAGAGGTATTGGACATTTGGCCACCCTTCGGTATTTATACTGTGAAAGAAGAGAGAATAGCAAACAATGTTTTTGATACTAAAGTTTTCTCTAATTGTTCTATTATTTTGTTGTTGCATCTCTTTTTGTTAGATGTAGAAACTTAGAAAATACTCTAAATCTTATTTATGTGCCTCAATCTTTGTCTTGGCAAATGCTTCACTTACATCAAAATATTTTGTGTTGCTCATTTATGACCCTAACAATAAATATCATCCTGGCTGTTTGTTTAATGGGACTCAAATCATAGCCTGACCCACTGGCTCTTGTTTTGCTGCTGAGCTGAAGGCAGCCAGAGCGGCCATCCAGAGTTCTGACAATAATATCCATCGCAAGAGCTAACATCTGAGACTTCTCTAGAGCTATTCTGGGGCTGATCAGCAGCCCCCACTCTTTCGTCTTCTTGCCTTTTCATACAGCATGAGGCCTCATTCAGGAGGATTGAAATACCAATGACAGAGACATGGCATTATTAATGAATGGGTAGACAAGCTAAATGCTGCTTTGGGTCTTTGAGGGGCATGGTTTGGATGACCATCCAAAAAGGGGCAAGGACAAAGAAGTGGGAAGGACTATGACAAAAACTTGATTTCTTTTAATTTAAATCATATTAAAATTAATTAATCATAGTGCATTGAGAGATTACCAGTAAATCCCAGGGCTATAGGCTAGTTTTAGAAGTTTTAAAAATTAAAGAAGTCCAGAAGAAGACCATATCAACATATTTCCATACTGTTGCCAAGAAAATTGCATGGATGTACTCATGTAAGCACCTAGAGTCAATCTGGTGTTTTTAGCTATTTATGATTCGTCCTTATGTATTTAGCATTTTCCCTCCATGCCTGCCCCTCCCCCTCTAACACACATATAAGATACATACTACATCTGCAGCAATTTGGGGAAGGCGTCTCTGAACCATATTATTCAAAAGAAAGCAAGTAGCCCTTGGTCACAGGTTGTGTATGAACTGAGTAGGGTCTGATGCTTGTATCAGACTGATGAGGTGTACCTATACTGTGCTGCTGGTTGGACACAGTAAAATGTATGGTGTGGCTTGTCATGACTCAAGAATAATGGGATGCATTGAAAAAAATAGGAGTGGTCTTTTGCAAAAGGAGATAAGTAAACAAAATCTTCACAGATCTTGAAAGTGGAAACAGTTATTTGGTACAGAAATCTTCTTGGAACTTATTTAATTGTTCAGGGAAAAAAAACCCCACATAGTGATACAATGTTCATGCAATTGTGTCTACCAATAATACAGGTGGGAGATCAGGTTTGAGTATTACTCTTGGTCAACATTTTCCTGCATTAAATGCTCAGATGTTTGGGTGTGGAGCATTTTATAATAGAGAATAGGTTTATTCTGTATGCTTTAGCCTTCTATAATCTAGTGCCTTCCAGATGTGTTGGAAATGTTAAAGTTCACTACAGATGTAGGACATCTATTGGAGAAGGTGAATATATTACATAATTCTATATGTTTTATAATATGCTAGTTGCTCCAGATATGGCTGCTTCTAGTGGATATCAGATGAAAGATGAAAAACACATGGTGGTGACTGTCCACCACCCTCAAGTGATATTTTTAAAAAGTATAAAAAAAATTCTTATAAACGTTGAAGTTATGTGAATTTTTTAAGACTCAGTCTCTGAATGCCTTAGTTGGAATGAGGATTTGTCAAACTGGCAAATACACACATCCTCATTTTTTTTACTGGGTTGTATCTGTCTTCCTGTGTTATTGGAAATATTTATTCCACAAAGCACTTTTCTGCACTATAGACATGGTGTGTTGGGATGTGCAACAGGATCCCAGGATATGATTCTTCTGCTTTAAAGAGTTGCAGACAGGTGATATGGTCATGCCCCCAAATGCTCAAAAGTACTTTTTTGGAACTGGAGCTGAAACATGCTATAGCTCTGATTTGATGCATTGAAATTCATAGTATGTGAGTGATCTGTATAGAACTCTGGTAGCCACATGCAGCCTTCAGATAGTCTCCAGAGAGTTCTCTGACTGTGATGACCCAAAATCAGCAGTTTTCTACTATTCCATCAATATCTCAGCAAAGTGTCACTCTAGACATGGTAGGGCAGTTTTAATAGAGGGGTCTGACTTTTTAAAATGACTCCTAGCAGTCAGTTCAACAAGACAAAGAAAAAGAAGAAACACTGAATGTAGAGGGACAGAGTCATTGCCCTAATACTGAAACTGGTACTGTTCTAGAATTATAAGTATGCATGTTTGTGCAAAGCTGAAACTCATCTGTAACATATCTTCTATTTTTTAATTTTTTAAACAATGAACACTGTATATTCATGAGTGTGTTTTAAACACAGAAGGTGGACCATTTCAGCAGTTTATCCCTCCAATTTTGAACACTGTTTCCTGCAATGTTTTCCTGACATTCCAGCAGGCTTCAGGAACTTCCCATTATAAGACAATCTATGCCTGTGGAGCCTTGCATGAAAAAAGACCCACCTTGGACTTTCCCAAAGCATGTAAGAAACAGCATTTTTTTCTTGCCTCTGGTAATTGCCATCCAATGCCAAAATTCATCCTTAGAAGTTACCATTTTGCAATGTCAGAGGGAAAAACCCAGTAATTGTCTATTTGAAATTCTGTAAAACAATTAACTTTGTTATGGGAAACTGCCAAAGCTGATATTTCATAATGCCATATCCCATGGAGAGCACCAACAGTCACCTTGTGTTTTGCCTGTTTATCCAGAAGTCCTGTTTCACAACCACAATGTTGAAAGTGCAAATTGAATAATACTGACTCTTCAGCACCTTATGACCTACTGACCACGAGGGGCAGTGTCTATAGATAGAGAATTAAAGATTTACTCTGTGTCCCCTCTTTGTCACTCTGCTTTTCCTCTAAGAGATTGCTAATCTCAGGTCACTTCCTTCTGCCTTTGTTCCACAGCATGCATGCACAGGGTAGATGCTCTTTCACTCTTCTCCTAACAGGATATAGTTCATTAGGTGCTAGCCTTTGCCTATCTCTATAATGCATTTCTTTAAATAAATCTCCTTTTCTATTATAGTTATAAAAGCTGCTTCATTAATCATTGCTCAGGTTAGATTCAGGTGCTCAGGAATGCTTAGAGAACACTTTTACCTCCAACACACAAACCATGGCAGAACAGGTTTCTTGTCTACGATTGAACTTCTTCCACCATCTGAAGAACCACAGCATAATGCATAGCCTTAGGTTTTGTTAAGTGGAGACTATCTGAAGAAGGAAGTCCTTCTGGATCATGCTTGAACTTTTGCAAAAGGCATATTTTTATTTCACCCTTATATAACTTGCCCCCTATTTCTTCAATGTTGAAAAAAGCCGTCCTACAAGAAGATGACCAGCTGAATAAATAGAAAAATAGTAGAACTTGTGGCTATTACTCACTGAGGTCCTAGCTATTTTGAATACATGTACCCACATAGCAATACATTGGAGAGAAGGAATGATACTGAGACACATGGAAAGAGTTGGTAAAGACTGGCGTGATGCTGGGAATGCATTTCATGTAAACAGTATGTTGGAACTGAATGTGTAGGGAGAGAAGCTGTAAGGTAAAGTCAGGACACTATCTGTCTAAGACTGCTAAGTGAGACACTGAAACCAGAGGAAGGAAAAGGGGATATTGATCATCAAATGCAAACTAGTCACAATTTCAGAGGGAAGAGAAAGGACTTGGGAAAAGAGAAAAAGAAAGCAGTAGTAAGAGGTATGTATACATTTATATGTTAGCGTGTGTGTGTGTGTGTTTGTGTGTGTGTGTGTGTATCCCTTCAAATATGAAACACTGCCAGGCAGAATCACATTAACTTGTGACCATTTTCATATACTGAAGCTAAACACATCTGCTGAAGTACAGTGTTTATAATGCTTGCCAAATAAATGGGTGAATTTGAACCCAAACAAAAAGGAAAAGAAAGAGAGTTGGGGGGCCAATAAATTAAGGCCATGGAAGGGGAGGGCCTTATGGGAGAATATATTTTCCACATTATTTTTCCTATTTAGGTCACCTCAGCGTTGCTATGGAAGAAAGAGCTTAAGGCAAAATTCTCAGTGCCCCTAAGAAGCTTGGAGATGCAAGAAAGACTTTGTTACACTACAGATTTAGGTAGGCTATTTTTTTACTTTTCCACTCTGGGAACTATAGTTTGTAGTTTTTGAGATTTCTGTATTAGAGATATTTAGCCTTTGTATTAAAGATGTTACAGGCCCAAAGCTTTCTTTAGAGAGAAAACAGATGTGAAACCAATAGTTCAGCCAAATGAAAATCCAATTCCATCATTGTTGCTCCTTCAATTACTGGTGTTCAAGAAAGAATGGGCAGGGTCACACTTCCTGCCACTGCCCCCACTGCAATATCTCTTCCTCCTAGCCAACATTTTGATGGAAGAGGGGAACTTTTTCTTAACACAACTGGGGAGAACTCTGGATCACCTGGGTTGTCTTTCTTTGCACTTTTTCCCATTTGAGATGGGGCAACAAGAACAGTACACAGTATTCCAAGTATGGTTCTATCTTTTACCAGTAAATCCCAGGGCTATAGGCTAGTTTTAGAAGTTTTAAAAATTAAA